AAAAAAAAAAAAAAAAAAAAAAGTGGCAAAAGAAAACCCTGTACGTGTTTTGTAGCAACAATGTGGAGAGCCCTCTGCGAAGGTGTTGGAGGTTTGCCTGGTAGTAGTAATTGGGGTAGACTGAAAACTGTGTTAAAGACACAACAGAATGAACTTGGTGAGGAATACCCTTGACAGAGTTTTATAAAAGGAAGCAGCCTCTTCTTTCCCTCTCTGGTTAAAAAAAAAATTAGAACAGTGTTACTTGTGAATGTTCTAGATAATGTTTTTAGTACTAGCATAATGCCTAGTCTGAGAGCTAGACTAGTGTTTTCTTCCCCCTTTTTGGCTGCAGATGTCATTTTTTGGTTTTGTTTTGTTTTTTAAGGCGAATGGATTCTCATTATTAGTAAGCTGAGTGAGCATTGAATAATTTTCTTATTTTGCTGACATGTTGGTGTTATAAATTAAGTATTTGGTTTGCTGGGAGGATGCTGATGAGAATACCTGACTGCTTCACTCCAGTACATGGTAGGGATTCCATTGATTGTAAATTACCAGGTAGTTTCTGTAACAGTGAGAAGTTCCTGATTTGTCCAACTCCAGATGTATGGACCGTTCTGTGTTTGTTCCCAAATTACCACACACATGGTGGCTTTAAAACAATAGAAATGTGTTCTTTCACAGTCCCAGAAGTTCACAGTCAAGGTGTCCACAAAGTCAGGCTCTTGTGGGAGGACCACAGGGGAGTCTGTTCCCTGCCTCTTAAATCTGGTGGCTGCTCGCACTCTTGGCTTGTGGCTGTATTGATTTCTGCCTCCTTTTTACATCATCTTCTCTCTTGTATGTCTTTCTCTAATTTTATTTCCCTCTGCCTTTCTCTTATAAGGATATGTGTTAGGACATGTAGGGTCCACCCAATAATTCAGGATAAGCTTCTGCTTTTAAGATTCTTTTTTTCTTTTTTGAGTTGGAGTTTCACTATGCCACTCAGGCTGGAGTACAGTGGCACTCTTACGGCCATTATAGCCTCGACCTGTAGGGTTCAGGTGATCCTTCCGCCTCAGCCTTCCAAGTAGCTGGGACTACAGGCACGTGCCACCATGCCTGGCTAATTTTTTGATTTATTTTAGAGATGAGTTCTTGCCAAGTTGGCCAGGCTGGTCTCAAACCTGTGGGCTCAGGCAATCCTCCCATTTTAGTCTCCCCAAATCCTGAGATTATAGGCATCAGCCACTGAGCCTGACCTTTTAAAAATTTTTTTAGGAGATGGGTCTCACTCTGTTGCCTAGGCTGTAGTGGAGTGGTGTGATCATATGTCACTGCAGCCTCCAGTTGCTGGGCTCAAGCAATATTCCCACATCAGCCTCTTAAGCAGCTGGTACTACAGGTACTGCTGCCATGCTTGACTAATTAAAAAAAAAAAATTTTTTTTTTTTAGGAGATGGGGTCTCACTGTGTTGCCCAGGCTGGTCTTGAACTCTTGGCCTCAATTGATCCTCTCCTTGGCTTACCAAAGTGCTGGGATTACAGGCATGAGCCAGCATACCCAAGTAAGATTCTTTATTTAGTCAAAACTTTTGCTGTTTGAGGTTATAGTCATTCCTTTGCTACATAAGGTAATATTCACAGGGAAGTCACATTTTCAGGCAATTCCTTTACTGTTTCTTTGCAGCCTTTGGCCTATTCAATTTATCTGGATTTTTTTTTCATTATTATTGTTCTGTACTGTGACCCACCGCGTAAAAACCTCTGGTATGTTTGTCCTATTGTAATTTTTCATTGTCTCCTACACTGACTTCTTGAGCAAGGGTCAGAAAACTGTAACCCATGGTCCAAATCCATCTCATTGTCTATTTTTGTACAGCCTGTCAGCTAAGAATGGTTTTACATTTTACATTGTAGGCATGAGCCACCATACCCAACTAATATTCTTATATTTAGCATTTTTGTTAATATAGTAAGGATTTGGTGTGATTTGCAAAAGGATTTAAAGAATACTTTAAAGATTTTAAAGTTTTAAAGAACTGTGTGGTTAGAATAATTTTATATACCAGACTATTCATGCTTCTTATCTGTTTGGCTTTAAGCCTTAAAACATGAAATATTGTCCTGCCTGTTAATTTAATTGAAATAGGAAATACACATCATACCCAGGACTTGATGTTGGCTAGTGGGCGGTTCATTTTATATGTCAACTTGGCTAGACTATGATGCCCAGTTGTTTGGTTAAATACTATTCTAGATGTTGCTGTGAAGGTATTTTATAGATGTGACTACCCTTTATAATCAGTTGACTTTAAGTAAATCATATTACTCTTATCGTATGGGTGGGCCTCATCCCATCAGTTGAAGACCTTAAGAGCAAAGATTGAGATTTGCTGAGGAGGCAGGAATTCCTCTTGAGTTTCTAGCCTACTGGCCAGCTCTGCAAATTTCTGAGTTGCCTGTTACATGAGCCAGTTCTCTAAGATTTCTTTGTGTCTTCGTCTTGGTCTCATTTTCTCTTGATAGATAGATACAGATCTAGATATGTTTCCTATTGGTTCGGTTTCTCTGGAAACAGAAATACGGCAGGCTACTCTGATGTGCTGCAAATGTGGACCATCTTCAGTGTCTGGTACCAAGATGCTGCAAGGATGCTAAGCATCACCCTCCTGCCTCGCATCAGCCAGCCCTCTTCCTTCACACCTCCTTCAGGCTTCTGGCTTTCACAGCTCAGGAAAGGAAACGTGTTAGATTTGAATACCACAAAGTCAGAAATAAGCTCACTTGCGAAGGGGCAGAGGGCTTTTTCTCGTCCTAGACTGTTGGTAGTTGTGAGAAGACTATGAGTGAGCATGATCAAAACAAAACAGTAGCAACTGGGCCTGCTGATAAGGAGCAGTTAAGAAGATGAGAGGGACTAGACATACTTCTGAGTGGGGCAAAATTTGTGGACATGTTTTTCTCTCCTTCTCCCTCTGAAAATAAAAGTTTGCTGTGTGTACCAAGTGCAGTGGAGACCACAAAGTTCATATGACCCCCTAACTTGTTTCCATCATTGCTACGGATGGTTTCTTTTATTCCCAAGTTTTGCCTCTTTGGCAAAAAAGACACAATTATTTTGGATAAAAATACAATACAAATAGATGTTCAATATTCAACAGTCTTGCTTGTATCTCTACATATGTAAGAATTTTACATATCAGCAAATGTCAAATTTGTCTAATAAGGTATTACATTTGAAAAATTACACATATGAGCAGAAAAAGATCCATTTAAGTGGTAATTTATATTTATATTTCCTTTCTTTTTTTGAATTGAAGCCTCACTCTGTTGCCCAGGCTGGAGTGCAGTGGCACTGCTCACAGCTACTCAGTCTCAACCTCCTGGGCTCAGGTGATCCTTCTATCTCAGTAGTCCCGAGTAGCTGGGACTACAGGTGCACGCCACCACACCTGGTTCTTTTATTTATTGTAGAGATGGAGTCTCGCCATGTTGTCCAGACTGTTGTAGGACTCCGGGGCTCAAGCAATCCTCCCATCTTGGCCTCCCAAAGTGTTGGGACTACAGGCATGAGCCACTTGTACCCGACCAGAAAATATATTTTTTTATATTTCAATTCTTCCCAAGTGAGTATTATGCTGTCAGGTTGCTCTAGGAAATGGTTGACTGACGATTGAATTGAAGATACTGTCTCCTTCCTGCTCTACTGTTCTCACCCATTCATCCCTCCCTTGATGCCTGTTTAAGCCACATCTTCTGTCAGTGACTTTTCATCTCTATGTGCAGGCTATTTATTTGCGTTATTTTAAAGAAGTGATTGTAACTTTGAGTTTTACAGGTCATAACCATTAAGCATGTGTTCTACTTCTTCAACTGGTGCTGTTTTATAAATATATTCATGAAACCACTGGAATATAAAATAATTTCTTTTTGCTCAAGATGCTGTTTCACTCTAAATAGCTAAAATGTCTTAGACTTTTTTTATCCTGCCAAGCATTTTAAAAGACTCTTTCTCTATGTTTTCTAATAGAACAGATAAATGTTTTCTAATAGAACAGATAACGACATTTAAAGTCATTCATTTCGGCAACAATTCTGTAGCAATTTTTTTTTTTTTTTGAGTTGGAGTCTCACTCTGTCACCCAGACTGGAGTGCAGTAGCCGCTCCCGGCCACCGCAGCTTCGACCTGCTGGGCTCCGGCAGTCCTTCCGCCTCAGCCTTCCACGTAGCTGGAACTACAGGCGTGCGCTACCACTCCTGGCTAATTTTTTGATTTATTGTAGAGATGAGGTCTCGCCTGCCCCGGCGGGTCTCGAACCTGCGGGCTCAGGCAATCCACTCACGTCACCCTCCCAAAGGCGCGGGATTATAGGCTGAGCCACCGAGCCCAGCTTCTGTGAGCACTTTTTGAGTGTCCCCCAGGGACCTGGTCCTGAGCTAGATTCTGGGGATGTAGAGACAGATGAAAAGATATGGGTCCTTGCTCTCAGGTTACTCCCAGTCTCCTGGAGAGACAGGCTTGGAAACAATGTGTGGTGAAGGGTACGACAGGGCCATATCAAGGAACAGAGATTGTCCAGAGCAGGGAGGGCTCATTCAGTCTACTGGGGACAAGGGGAGCATCACAGGGATGGTGACATACAGTTGGGCTTTAAGGAAAGATGAGAGATTTCCAGGTGAAGAATGTTGGACTGAGATGTCTTGGCATCTGGAAATTTTACCCATACTGTTACTTCATATCTTAAGTATCATTTTGATTAAGCAAACCAAATGACCCCTGAGAAGCAGTGATAATTTTATATATTATTGCTTGTATTTTTTTAAGCATAACTGAGCATAAATATAATTTGTAAAGTAATGCTCTTCACTGAGATCTTGTATGTATTCTAGTATTAGGTAATAGTACTTATTTGTAAGATACTATCGTAGATGCCTAAAAATGTTCTTGATTTAATAAACTGATATATTTTTCCCTTATTCTCTCTCTTTCTTTTCATCCTCTCCCCACTCCCCATGTTGTTTGTTTTTGCAGTTGGTCAGTCTGTTGCTGATTGGAATTGCCGCGTGGGGAATTGGCTTTGGGCTGATTTCCAGTCTCCGTGTTGTCGGTGTGGTCATTGCCGTGGGCATCTTCCTCTTCCTGATTGCACTAGTAGGGCTGATTGGAGCTGTCAAACACCATCAGGTGTTGCTGTTTTTTGTATCCTTTTTTAAAATCGGGATTTCTCCTCCCAGTTGGGTTGGGATATTACTCATTATTGATTACTGTATTGTTTTCTGGTTTTTTGAACTTTTATTTGTTTATCTATTTGAGGTGGAGTTTTACTCTGTGGCCTAGTCTGTAGTGCAGTGGCACAAGCATGGCTCACTGCAGCCTGAAACTCCTAGGTTCAGGCTATCCTTCCACTTCATCTTCCTGGGTAGCTGGGACTACAGGCGTGTACCACCACGCCCAGCCAGTGTTTTGATTTTTTTGTGGAGATAAGGTCTTACTATATTGCCCTAGGCTGGTCTCGAACTCCTGGGCTAAAGCAATTCTCCTGCCTCAACCTCTCAAAGGACTGAGATTACAGGCATAAGCCACCACACCAGTCTTTATTTGTTTTAGAAGGGTCTCCCTCTGTCACCCAGGCTGGAATGCAGTGGTGTTGTTATAGCTTACTACAACCTCGAACTTCTGGGCTCATGCGATCCTCTCGCCTCAGCCTCCCCATGCCTGGCTAATTTATATTTTTTGTAGAGACAGGGTCTCACTATGTTGGCCAGGGTGGTCTCAGACTCCTGGCTTCAAACCATTCCTCTTACCTAGATAGTGCTGAGATTACAGGTTTGAGCCACCGCTCCCAGCCTGATTACTATTTTGATAGCTACAACTAATTTAATATTATCATTGGGTATTGATTGCCAGAAAGCAACACTTAGCAAGCCCTATGCATGTATGTTCAAAATATTAGGAACATTTCTTAAAGTTTTCTGTGTCCATATCTCACTTTTATCACATGAACAATGTAGTCTGCAAACTCAGTATAGTCTTATTTTTGTTTTGCAAATTCAAAGGTAAATTGAATTGATTCGGTGACCTCCATGCCCAGTCTGATACATTCATATTTGGTTGAGAATTTCACAGTGGTTTATTTTAGACTTAATGTTACGAAAGGTTACATACATTTATCTATATGTATTTCCTGTTTTATATATGTAAAATTTTTATTTTGACTGAGATTCCAATAGATTTGTTTTTAGACATATATCACTATTTTTCTATATGAACTTATTGGTACAATGTATTATAAAATAATAATTATGTGTATCTTTTTTGCACTTTATGTACCATCTCTCTGTTTTCTGGGTGCATTGTTTCTAGTGCATTCTAAAGTTGTCAGTAACGCTGTTAGATGCTATTTTAAGAGCATTTACAATATTCCTTAACTTTTAACTCTCAGTATATGATTATTCTCTTACTTGTATTCATTGTTCAGTTTTCTGTATCTTGTGCTTGTTTGGCCCTGAACCAGGAACAACAGGTAAGCAATGACATTTTCCTTCTACTTTATTCTACCATACAGCATGAGTATGAAAAAAGGGAGAGACTTGATTAGAAGACAAAATAATTTCTCCTTGCGTAGAACATCATTTCACTCTGAATAGCCAAGTTCTCCTATTCCTGATTGCGTTAGTTGATCCAAACAGAGTGAAAGGGTGTTACTGTTTTTTGTATCTTTTAGATAGGATGATAGGATTTTGCTCTCACTGTGTAAAAAGTGCTACATACTATTAGAAAATATGTATATTTTTTCAAGTCAGGGTCTTACTCTGTCACCTAGACTGGAGTACAATGGCACATTCATGGGTCACAGCTGCCTCGACCTCCTGGGCTTAAATGATCTTCCTGTTTCAGTCTCCTGAGTAACTGGGACTAGACCTGTGTACCACCATGCCTGGCTAATTTTTTTATTTTTTGTTGAGATGAGGTCTCACTATGTTGCCCAGGCTGGTCTCGAACTCCTGGGCTCAAACAATTCTCTTGTCTTGGCCTCCCACAGTTCTGGGATTACAGGTGTGAGCCACCACGCCTGGCCTCCTCCAATCTTTTCTCACCATTATGCAATGAAACGTTTGCTCCAGAATGCTTGTTCTGTTCAAGGAATACAGGTTTCTGTCTGGAACAACAGAAAGTTTGTTTTGTTATCCTCTGAGGATTAACCCTTGAATCTAGTGTTTTCTTTCTTTCTTTATTTGCATCATAGTCTCACTGTTGCCCAGACTGAAGTGCCATGGCACACTCACTGTCACCACAGCCTCGACCTGCTGAGCTCAGACGATCCTTCTGCCTCAGTCTTCCAAGTAGCTGAAACCACAGGCCTGTGCCACCACGCCTGGCCAATTTTTTGATTTATTGTAGAGATGTAGTCTCACCAAATTTCCCAGGCTGGTCTCAAACCCCTGGGATCAGGTTGTCCTCTCGCCTGAAGGGCTGGTAATAGTGGTGTTAGCACCCAGGATCTTCTTTTAAATTGCATAGAAAAATTAAGACTTTTACATTTGTGGGATAGAAATAGTGCCTTAATTTTTGTTGGAGATTGAAGGATAAGCATTTGAAAAGCTAATGGTTTTATAGAAAATATTTAAGTACACTGAGTACTAAAATGTATAGGCTCTAGGTTTCTATACTTTATAGAGGAATGACACATTTTAATGTGATGTGTATATTAAATACATTTTCTAGGGTCAGCTTCTGGAGGTTGGTTGGAACAATACAGCAAGTGCTCGAAATGACATCCAGAGAAATTTAAACTGCTGTGGATTCCGAAGTTTTAACCCAAATGACACCTGTCTGGCTGTAAGTACAAAGTATAAAATATTTTTTGGAATTGTATTACATATGGATGAGTAATGACTAATGTGAAAGAAACGGACTTTCTGCCAGCCGTGGTGGCTCCCAGCACTTTGGGAGACCAAGGCGAGAGAATTACTGAAAACTGGAAGTTCAAGACAGCCTAGACAGCATAGCAAGACCTCATCTCTACAAAACAAAAAACAAACAAAAAAAACAAATTAGCTGGGTGCTCTGGCACACACCAATAGTTCCAGCTACTCATTGCCTGAGCCCAGGAGGTTGAGGTGGAAGGATTGCCTGAGCCCAGGAGGTTGAGACTGCAGTGAGGCATGGTTGTGCCATTTTACTCCAGCCTGGGCAACAGAGTGAGACTCCAACTTCAAAAAAATAAAAGAAAGAAAGAAATGGACTTTATGGTGCTGAATTGTATTTCAAAGTTGTCTTATGTATATTTACATTATATTGCTATATATACTATTGTATCATTTGCCTGTTCTCAAATACCCACTCCTAAAAGTTCTGAGCATTTTAGGCCCTGTCAAACACAGATGCTTTTGTTTATCATTCCTAATTCCTTCCCATTCTAATCCTCCTAGAACAAGCTGTGAATGAGAAATCACAGTACATCAGTCCACATGTGCTCATATTTTGGGGAAACTCCAGTTACCACCTCTCTGAACCCTGAGCTGGGTATCCCCTCATTTAGGCCTCCTTGTAGGGGTCCGTCCATATTACTCTTCTGTTGCTATGTAATTTGTAATAATATTGCTATCACTGCAAATTTAGTGACTTAAAACAACATCCTTTTGTTATCTGGCAGTTTCCATGTCTAGGTATGGCTTAGCTGGGTCCTCTATTTAGGGTCTCACCTAGAGAAATCAAGGTGTCGGCTGAGATGCGATCTCATAAATTGATTGGGATCCTCTTCCAAGGTCAGTAGTTGTTGGCAGAATGCAGTTCCTGATGGTTATAGGTCTGAAGTCCCTGCTTTCTTGCTGCCTGCTGACTGGAAGTCTCTCTCAACAACTGGAAGCTGCTCTCAGGTCCTAACTGTGGTACTCTTTCACATCGTGGTAGCGTGGAAGTCACTGTGAGAATCACCCCATCATATTCCAAGCTCCACCCACACTCAAGAGCAGCTGTGATATCGGGCATGGACGCCAGAGGATGGATGTCTTGGGGCCATCTTAGAAATTAGCACACTCAAAAACCAAAAGCCTCAAGTTGGATGCAGTGCCCCCAGACACTGATTTTTGTGTGTGCAGTATTTATGTGTTCTTTTTAAATTTACTTTGCAATGAAAGTTCTTTCATTGAATTGCAGAGCTGTGTGAAAAGTGGCCACCCATGCTCACTGTGTGCTCCAATAATCGGAGAATATGCGGGAGAGGTGTTGAGATTTGTTGGTGGCATTGGTCTCTTCTTCAGTTTTACAGAGGTATGTGCCTAGAGCTCAATGTTTTTCTTCCTTTGTCACAGAGACTCCTGTTTTGTATGGCAGTTGATGTTCATTATTAGAATGTATCAATGAATATTTTCTTTTTTAAAAAATTTTAAAGATGTGGGGTACAATTCAGGATTAGGTATACAAATGTTCATTATGCAGGTATCCTTGTTGTTGAGGTGTGCTCCCCATTCCCCCAGCAGATTCCCACTACTGCCAATCCCCCCGCCCCCATCCCCTGGCAGTTTCCAACTACTGCCAATTCCTTTCTTACAGTATTATGATAATTGTAGGTCTGCTTATGAGTGAGAACATGTGGTATCAGTTCTTTGCTTCTGTGATAGCTCACTCAGTATTATAGAGTCAGAGTCCATCCAAGTTGCTGTGAGGTTCATAATTTTGTCCTTCTTTATGACTGCATAATATTCCATTGTGTATGTGTACCATATTTTTTTAATCCAGTTCTTTTTCAGTGAGTCCGGTTGGTTCCACAATAAACATTTTTGTTGAGAACTAGCATTGTCAAAGGAGGAACCCTGGCTTTGAATCAGAAAATCTCATAAATATAGGTTTAACTTCAGGGCAGGGTGAAATACTTGATCTGGTGCCTGAAAATTTAATGAACTAATAAAATGAGATTAGGGTGGGTTATCTCTAGGGTCACTTCTGTTTCTAGAGTTGCATGATAAATTATAATTTTAAATTTAATTTGGAAAGGTAGGACATTCACATTGTTTAATACAAATTTTCATATATATAGCATACACATATACATATATAAAAAAGTTATGTTTGGAAAAATTGCCTTCCAACACTGTCTTTCATTTTCTGTTCCTAGCATTCTAAAATCTACAGGTAACCACCATTATATATTTATTATATGCATATAACATATCTATATTAATATTTTATGCTAATTAGTACATTTGTCTATGGTATGAATGACCTATAAAACTACCCACAGGCTGAGCGTGATGGCTCATGCCTGTAATCCCAACACTTAGAAGGCCAAGGTGGAAGGATTGCATGAGGCCAGGGAATTGAGACCAGTCTAGGCAACATAGCCAAACCTCATCTCTACCAAAAAAAAAAAAAAAAATTAAAAAATAAGCCAGGTGTGGTTGTGCATGCTTATAGTCCCAGCTATTTGAGAGGCTGAGGCAGAGATTATCACCAGAGCCCAGGAGTCAAAGCTGCGGTGAACCTCAATTGCACCATGGTACTCCAGCCTGGGTGACAGAGTGAGACACCGACTCAAAAAAAAAACCCCAAAAACATAAAAACCAAAAAAACCCATACACATATTATTTGCTAATTTTAAGGAATGTTAATTATTTTTTCAATGTCTTTATTAAGCTGTAAGCATCTGTGGATATTTTTGGATGCTTCTGAATTGCCAATATGAATCAAGATTAATTTTTTTTCTTCATAAATTCCACTTACATTATTTTATTTCATGGAGATAATTGTGTAACTATTTAAAGTGAATACATGAGAATGTTTACTGTTTTATCTTTTTTTGAGTTAAAGTCTTACTCTGTTGCCCAGGCTAGTACAGTAGCATGCTCATGGCCACCCCAGCGTCGACCTGCTGGGTTCTGGTGACCCTTCCGCCTCAGTCTTCCAAGTAGCCGGAACTACAGGCGAGCGCTACCACACCCAGCTAATTTTTTGATTTATTGTAGAGATGAGGTCTTACTAAGTTGCCCAGGATGGTCTCAAACACATGGGCTCAGGCAATCCTCTCATCTTAGCCTCTCAAATTAATTTCCTTTTATATATATATATTTGTTTGCTTGTTTTTGTTTTTAAAGAATAGAGATGGAGTCTCCCTATGTTGTCCAGGCTATTCTAGAACTCCTGGGCTCAAGTGATCCTCCCACCTCAGCCTTCCAAAGTGCTGAGATTACACACAAGGTGGTTTGCATAATTTAACCAGTGCACAGTTGAGGAACATAAACTGGCCCAAGGTTTGTGAATAGAAACAATAAATATGCCAGGTGGCTCACACCTGTAATCCTAGCACTTTGGGAGGCCTAGCACTTTGCTGGGCCTGGTGGTGTGTGCCTGTAGTGACAGCTACTTGGAAGGCTGAGATGGAAGGACCACCTGAGCCCAGCAGGTTGAGGCTGTAGTGACCAAGAGCATGTCACCGCATTCCAGCCTGGGCGACAGAGTGAGATTTCAACTTAAAAAAAAAATTAAGGAACATCACACCTCAGGAGCTGCACGGTCTGAGTTGGAAACCCAGTTCTGCTGCCTATTAGTTGTGTGATCTGGCAACTTACCTAAACTTTTAGTGCTTGTCTCCCTGTCTTTAAAAACAAGGATAATAATAGATAGCCCTCACTTTATAGGATTATTGTAATGATTAAAGGAGTTAATAGCTGTAAAACTTGTTATATGCTTAAAACAGTACCTGGTACATGACAAATGCTGTGTTAGCCGTCACTTTAAAGCTACTAATAAATTATGGATATAAAGTCATCATCATTATACCCCATTAAAAAAAGATGGGACACATTATTGTCACAGTCAGATGCTGATGTCACACTCTTATTTAAAACAGCAGATTAACGTGTAGAGAATAATTCTTTTAAGTAAGATTATGTATAGTTATAGAAATATATGGTGGGCTATTTTTGAGAGTGAGCATGTGTCTTTAAAAGAAAATTATAAAAATCAGCCAGTCACAGTGCATGACTCATGCCTATGATCCCAGCACTTTGGGAGGCAGAGGCGAGAAGATTGCTTGAGCCCAGGAGATGAAGATCAACCTGAACAACATAGTAAGACCTCATCTCTACAAAAAATAATAATAAAAAAAAAGCCAGATGTGGTGGCATATACCTGTTGTCCCAGCTACTTGGGAGGCTGAAGCAGAAGGATCTCCTGAGTCCTGGATGTCGAGGCTGAGGTGAGCATTGATAATGCCACTGCACTCCAGCCTGGTGGCAGAATGAGACTCCAATTCAAGAAAAAGTAAATAAATACATAAATGAGTAAATAAAATGAAATCAGAAAAATCTTAGGTGTTATTTTGATGGTTGGATTTTAATGCGTTTATTTTATCTGTTGGATGTTTAATTTTCCTTTCACTATGTCACTATAATAAATAATATCATGGTCAACTTACTTTTATATTATTTTTTTATTTTTTGAGTTGGAGTCTCACTCTGTCGCCCAGACTGGAGTGCAGTGGCTGCTCCCGGGCACTGCA